GTTTATGTTGACGTGATTCATGTGCAATGAGTTTGTGCATTGTAGAAACAATCCCCATGTATAATGTTTTTCATGACCTCCCGAAACAGTGATGGAGTTGAAATTGTATAACTACATTTTTCTCACCCTTCTAGTTGATCTGTCAGGAGCATATTGTGATTGAAAAATAGAAGACATCTGATCTCTGTCATGCTTTTATCTTGAAACTATGAATTTGAAGGGAAGGGGATATAAGAGTAATTGTTGCCCGAGGATGTCAAACTTCCGCAACAAAATATTTATAAAAAATTCAAATGCATTAAAAAGCATGATTAATTAGTTTGTTTGTTAGTGATGCTTAATATTGTCCATTGCAATTGATGCTGGAAGAGTCATTGTTGACAATTCTCCTGGCATAGTGCTAATAATGGACTAGATCAAAATGACTCAATTAAATTCTAGTGCTTCTTCTATTAGTGAAGTTTCTAGAAAAAAGAATATATCAAACGGCACAATGCACCTTGGGTCGCTACGGAAACAGCCTCCTTGTATAATTACAAGGGTAAGGTCTGCGTACAACTGACCCCCCAGACCCCAACTTGTTGGGAATATACTGGGTATGTTGTTGTTGTTGTTGTTGTTGTTGTTAGTGATGCTTAATGTGGTTTAGTTCTCTTAATTTGTTTTCGTTGGCAGATGCAAGTCTTACGAGAAGGCTAAGAAGAAATTGACTGTTCTTGAGGCCCCTAATGTTCTTACAATCGTTCTCAAGCGATTTCGGGTATTCTCTTCTGCACCGCAGCATATTTAATTTACTTAATTTATGAATTCTTAACCTTCCGTTGCACCTTATATTTGCAGTCAGGCAACTTAGAAAAGTTAAATAAGTTTGTGAAGTTTCCCAAGGTTCTTAACCTTTCTCCTTATATGAGTGGAATGAACGAGAAGTACCCCATATACGAGCTTTATGCAGTGGTGGCCCACTTGGGAATGAACGCTGCTTACAGTGGCCACTATGTGAGTTACATAAGGGATTTCCAGGGGGATTGGTTCAAAATTGACGACAGCCTGGTATGTTTCCCATACAGTCGTGCAATTAATATTTATATTATAATGATTATTTTTAAGTTTATTTTCCCCCTCTCGGGGCTAGAGTACCCAACATGGACCTTTCTTTCAGGTAAGTCACGTGGACCTGGAGACTGTCTTGTCTGTAGAAGCTTACATTCTCTTTTATGCAAGGTAATTTAGTATTTTTTTTTTTCCAAAAATGAAAAAAAAGGTTGCAGAAGATGACTATTTTAATTTTTAATAATTAGTTGAATTCCAAAACCATTTTTTCAAAGGCATTCTCCGCGAGTCCCATCATTGGTTAGGAGTACCAGTTTTCATTCTGATGCGAAAACCAAGAGAAATACAGAAGCAACCTCCTCCAGTAACATTTCCAAGAAAAAGAATTCAAAGGCAAAACCAAACTTTTCTGGCCGGTATGTGGACCCCACATCTCCTCGTCAGCTTTCCGGCAAACAACTCCATTGGATGTCTCCAAATGATTTCAGTGGGGAGCATGAGGTGGACCTTTATGGCTGGGGATTCCACAAAAACAACCCACTAGCTGACTCATCATCAAGCGACAGCTCATCCATTTTCAGCACATCGGATGCCGGTTCATACAGTACTGACAGCACCAAGGACTCTAGTGCAGAGGATATATCTGGATATTTTTTCGGGACTAGCACTAGCTGGTACAAACCGTAAAAATTGCATTTGAGTCCTTGACCACGTGAGAAATTTGGTAATGGTGTATAAATAATATTCTTGCTTCGACTCATGGTTGCCTGTGGGGAACTTTGGTACGGGCAATTTGGAGAGCGGGCCGATATTTGCTTGGAGGTCGCTGACCTCGTGAAGGTTCAAGGGGGAATGCGTGGAAAAAGACGCAGGTATTTTTTTAATCCCGTGTACACTAAGACTCTTAATTAGTAGATAAAATTAGGTGTTGAAGTAGTTTTAGGGAGTAGATAAAAGTTTAATTTCACCACACATTTTACTAATTTGTCCTTCTGGGAATAATTGTGTTCGCCCAAATGGGGAACGGCTAGATATAGCAGCAGCTCAAACATTTTCTCTTTTTGTCGTTTGAGCTTGTGGCAAGTTACCTGTGCTTGTTTTATAAATCTATTGAGGCCAGTGTACATTCTCAGCATTTGGTCATACTACAGAGATATCTATAGAAGCCCTTGTTTTTCACATTATTTTGACATAATCTCGAACTATAATTTTGTTTTTTTTTTCCCCTACGTTAAGTTTATGCCTCTTTGAGTCATTTTAGTCCATAAAGGTTTGACTATGAGTCGATTTAAAGTTAAAACTCGCATAATCACGAATGAAGTGCCCGATTACATTTCAGTGAAGAATAAAGACAAACTTGGCTATGTTCCTTTTTGATGCATTAACATCAGTAAACCGAATGATGTAAAGTGCTGGCTGAGGTGTCATGTACAAGAATGAAAGTAAGAGAAAATTTTCAAGATTCAAGGCAGCATACATATAGACTAACTAAAGCCTTAGAATAACAGAGTACACAAATTAAATGAAAGGATGATAGCGTGACATAAATAAATATCCCCATAAGAATGGAATGGAAAATGCTCAGCTACTTATAATTAGTTTGAGGGTGGTGGATAGAGAAGGGAAAGTAGGCACTGTATTTGCTGGGATATTCGGTAGAAGGCATACCGGGCAGTTGGGATGATGGGAAATATGGGCTTTGGCAGAGTTGGAATATTAGTCGGCATGTTTGGCAGTGGTGGGATTATCGGCCGAGAGATGATTGCAGAAGGTGGCCGAGCCCGAGCCTGCATGGATGCTCGAGAGTGAGATGAATATTGGTTTTCTTGAGGATTGGTTTATTATATGATTTTGGAGTTTAATTTAGGAGATGGCTTATTTATAGATGAAAAATATTAGTGGTTGAGTATGGTGATTACTTATTGTAGTTTGTGGGACTTATTAGGTTAAGTTTGTGATGAGAGTGGAGTTAACAAAAAAAGAAAAAAAAAAGAAAAGAAAAAAGAAACAATTAGCCTAACACACCAAAAACCTTATGCAAAATTTCGGGTTTGAGTCTGTGAATGCAGAAAACTGGAAGACTCACCTACTATTGTCAGGTGTGCGACACGGGTCGACCAACATATTAGTGAGAACAAAGTTTTAGATACCGTGGCTGACTAAAAAAAAAAAAAATAAAAAACTCAAGCTA